CACACACACACACACACACACACACACACACACACACACACACACACACACACACACACACACAGCAGAAACAGGAAGTTACTCAACCAGCTGAGTCTTCCTGCGGTCTTATTCCAAGAAAATGTTCAGACTTTTACCATGAGTWCGGTGGCTGACAGCAGACACTTTCTGCATGGGAATGTCTCTCTGTCGCTCTTCAGTTATTGTCCACCAGGTCAGGTTACACAGCTGAAAGAGGGGGAAATGTAATGAAAATCTATTTTATTTTGTTTTTTTTTTACGAGCAACAATTAATATCTTTATCTAGAAGAGCGTTTTAGATTAGATCTGTTTGAACTCACACCATTARTCTAGTTTTAGAAAGAATTTGATAACTATAAAAGTGAAGTGAGTTTTGATGACGAGTAAAAATAAAAATCCCAGTCCTCTTTGAAGATGGCCAAATCTATCTCCCAGCTGTTGTAAAGATAGATTTTACAAATCGCCTGCATTATAAAGGCGGTGATGTACCGGTGTTACATCTAAAGCTTGTTTACATTGAGAAAAGTTAAGCTGTCTGTATCCCTGAAGCAAATGTAAAATATTAAAGTGTCTGGGACATTTCATACAAAAACAAAAAGCGCATATTTACAGCTACATTTTATTTTGTTGGTATGCCAAAGTGAAACAGGAAGTGATGCCAAAAAGGAACTCCCTGCTCTTTGTTTACACAGACTCTTCCTCATGATGGTGACTCAAAATAATCTAAAGAACCATCAGACTCTTCGCTCTCATCTGTTGGTCGTTGTAGCAATGCTCTGTTTACATGCAGGCCTTCTGTCATCACTTCCTGTTACTGCGCATGCAAATATCTCAACGACCGTTCATCTAAGCGATGTGACTTTTTTACATTTTTTGCAACACTTTATTATTGCATTTGTATTTATCACAACAATTTGATGTCACAGGAACTTTAAAGCGCTTGTTTTTTTATTCAACTTTAATCAAATGCCACAGTTTTCTGTTTATGTTTTAGTTTTATTTTACAGGAAACAAGGTTTGATGTTTTACAGTTTTATTTATTTAGTTTTCATATTTTTCTGCAAGCATGTTCATTGGTTTCTATTCTTCCTTCAGTCCTGCAGACATGACATGTAATGTATTTGAGCAACCCGCTGTTACGTCTCTCCTGCTGTCTACTGCATGTTTGAACAGATGTTATCTGCTGTCAGTGATATCCCTGTATTTACTGGTCTTATTATTTTGTTGGCAGATTGTTCCGGGTTTGAGTTTTATTATTCTGCTTTTATTTTTACTCTGGGCAATCCTTCTTCATCATTGTACTGTAAAGCTCTGACAACCACGAGCTGCTGAGTGTGCAGGGGAGGTGGTGTGGTTCAGTGAACAATGGTGTGGTTTGTTTATGTGAGTTTCTAGCTATAAAAGCATGTGGCGTTACGGTTTGTAAATCTGAGGCCATACTGTCGTTGGCTTGCATCATGTGAGGTTTTGGTATGCACGTTGTGTGTGGTAAACTCTGGGGATTTCTCTTGATTCGGCATTAAGACAGGGCGTTCCTTTATGAAGCTAATGTTTAGCTTTTGGGTTCAGGCACCGGCTTGGGCAACGAAAGATGTGACAAATGGGTCATGGGCCGTAATGAAACATCCCATATGAAGGATTAGCTTGTTGTGAAAATGTGCAACAATAAATCTATTGTGCAGTAGGATTTGGTTCTGTTGTTTGGGATTTATCACCTTCAGATAATCCATGCTCAAATTTGTCTCGGGTTTATCTGTTTTACTTTTAGCTGATATCGTTGCAGGTGTGCCGACAGAAAGCGATCACTTCCTCGACAGCGCTGTTATTTACTGATGTGAGCCCACCTGCTCGTGGCTGGGCGGCGGCGTGAGCAGGGAAATCACGGCGACCACTCCGGCGGTGAGCCCACAAAGCAGAATGGCGAAGTGGAGGTAGTGCACGCCACGCAACACCATAGGTGCCGTATTCACCACGCCACATCCAGGAGAGGGGAAGACAAACTCCAACACCATCCGACACACACCTACCACCAAACCCACCATCAGGCCCCAGAACGCACCCTGAAATCAGAAGAACACACAAAAAATATATACTCCAAGGCTTTCTGTATTAAAGGGATCCATGATTACTTATAACATAAGACTTTATTTGATAAACATATATTTTAACTGTAAAATAAAGACTGTAAAAATACTGTAGGATGTTTAGTTTTTATAATTTTTAAATTACAAGTTTAAAAATATCGGAAGGGCCCATTTTATTTACACCCAAAGCATTCTGGGTAAATGATAATGTGGATAGGTCCTCAGTGCGAGGCTGCTAGCGAGCTATATCCACCCTGAAGGTTAATCTTTGACATCTGATGATCGACTCTTTTAAATGAAACCAGAGAGCGTTGACAGAGAGGAGAAGGTAGAAATGACTCAGCCTGTAACTGAAAATATGGATGGAGGACAACAGTTTAGCTTGTTAGTTTGTCGCGCTAGCACTGAGCTAATATATATAAGGCAATATAGCATCAGCGCTAGAGCAAAGACTAACAGGTTAAGCTGAGGTTCTTCTTCCATGAAGCAGCTCTGTTGTCCTCCATCCATATTTTCAGTTACAGGCTGAGTCATTTCTACCTTCTCCTCTCTGTCAATGCTCTCTGGTTTCATTTAAAAGAGCCGATCATCAGATATTGTCCAAGATTAACCTTCAGGGTGGATATAGCTCGCTCACACCGAGGACCTAACCACGTCATCATTTACCCAGAATGCTTTGCGTGTAAATAAAATGACTGTCCGTGTTAAAATATATTTTTAAAAATTTACAAAACTAAACATCCTACAGTATTTTTACAGTCTTTATTTTACAGTTAAAATATGTGTTTATCAAATAAAGTCTAATGTTACAACTAATCAGGGATCCCTTTAAAATACACGACTTTCTTGATTTGGAAGCTGGATTCCTGAAGCATCTCTCAGCCTGAAGGGCTGCAATGACACTTTCCCACCATGCTAAGCTGTCATCGTCATGTCACCTCTCACTGACAGTAAGTATACACATGTGCAGGAACACGGTTGGAGCTCCATTCTCCTTTCATTAAAACCTCAACACAGAATGTGATCGTACCTGTTTGACTCAAGCCTTAAGAAAAACATTTAGCTCGTTACACCAAGGATCAGAGAAGGTGGTGGTATCTCAATAATAAATCACGCAGCCTTTGTCAATTTGTCTTTTTTATCTTCACAACAGTGTGTCTGATCTTCTTCCGACTTGATAGGTGTGTTATTGAGAAAGTGTGTGAAGTGCGACGTATATTCTTATAATTGTCATTCACTATTAGGGTTAGGGTGGACAAACACTTGTTGCAAGACAAAGCCATCACGGGTCGTGTTTGATTTGTGGCCTGATGATGACGATGATAATCAGAAARCATGCCTACATCAGCTGCCACACGCACTACTGGATTTATTTGCACATTTTAAATTTAGCGAGTTATATTTGCTGCTCAAGGTTAAAGGCCATCCAGTACATTTTCCCACAYATCCGAAGCTGTTTTCTTGTAATCTACACCACTCAGGTGTGAYAAAAGACGTGCAACAAAGTATGTCCTTTGACCCTGAAAATCTACACCGCTTAGATTTCTGTAGCAACCTCCTCGCTGGTTTATCACAAAGCTTAAATGGTTGACATATTTTCATTTTGCGATCGACTCTTCTTAAACGACTACTTTAGAGGTCAAAATCCTGTGGAGACAATCTGGTTTCTGTCCACATTTCTGAACKAGTTTTATGTTGGAATGTGAGAGAGTTGTTTTTGTCTTTCTTTGCCTGCGAAGAACTGGCAGCAAGACCAGGTGCTGCACTGTGCACTACTTTTAAACCACTCTTAATTTTCCTTTATGTTTTGCTTCCAAGCAAACAGACTTTCTTAGAATATTTTAAAGTTATGCTGATCAATAGCATTTGAAAGCATTTTCTGTGCATTTTGTTTGCTTTTTTTTAGTCGTTTTCTACACAGTTCATGGAGTTAAAACAAGATTATTTTAATTGCGTCAAACTACTTTTTTACATGTTTTTTTTATAGATTCAGCTAAAGGGATGGGAACAAACTGTGTTGCTTTGACAGGCTGCTGGTAGCACAATGCCTGAAGATCGAGTTTCAAATGATTTTGCTGCCAAGCTGTCGGTTTTATGTCGACACAACGCTTGTTTATTTCCTGAGTTTAGGAGGCTGATTTCTGCCAGAATGATTCACCGATCTGAGTTAATCTTTTTAGACTGGCTTAACAAGCAACAAAAAGAAGAAAAGAAAAAACTATAAAAATGTTAAGATACTTGATAAGMAAAAAAAGCAACTCAAGTACAAAAAAAAGGCAGAAAAACATTGAAAAAGCTAGGAAAAATGCTAATAAAATGCTTTAAAATATGTTTTTAATTTGACTACTTAAGAAAAACTACAAAGAAATGAAGGATGACTCAAACTTTTGCACAGAACTGAACAACTCGCACTGAAATAATCKGCAGCCCTCCTTCCCCCTCTGCAGCTCTGATGTTCAATAGCTGACGAATAAAGAATGGTGGATGGTAGTTAGTTACAGTAGTTTGATGCTTAGATGCTTATTTGTTGATGAGTTGTTTTGTTTTTTGGTAAGGCAGGGCTTTTCAAGTATTTTGGGTCTGGGGACTCCTTATAAGGGAAAAAAAGATTTCTAAGGACTCCTTGAAAAACCCTCAATGCTGACTGGAAATAATTTACTTTAATTTAATTTACTTTTTTTTAAAAAATGTCACGAGAACAATTGTTTTTGGGGTTA